CACACACACACACACACACACACACACACACACACACACACACACACACCCCCTCCCTCCGAGGCTGGCCTTGTGATCATCCCTGTTCTTTTGGGAAACAGCAGCAAAAATGAGTACATTTAAACATGCTTTCCCTATGCAGGAAAATGGGTAAAAAGAATTAGTAAAATATTACATTTCAAATAGGGAGTTAAGTTGCTGTTTGAGCAAGTATTGGAATATGTACACAGTATTTTTTTATGCTTTCATTGTAGTCATAGGTTTCTTAGTATTGTGAAGCATGAAGCACTAACTCAGTCCTTCCTGTTGGATGGTTATTAGACCTGACATCAAAGTAGAACAAAGGTATCCAGGCAATTATAGAAGCAAGACTGACACTGATGTAGTAGAAAGAATTCCAGACTTGGAGACAGAAGTTAATAATTCAACAATCATTTATTAAGGGCCTACTATGTGACAGGCACTGTACTAAGCACTGGGGATACAAATAAGAAAAAGAAAGACAGTCCCTACCCTCAAGGAGCTTACAAATCTAATGGGGAAGGACAATATACAAAAGGAGGTTGGAAAAGGGGTGCATGTGTGTTTGGGGTTGAGGGACTTGGTACCTTGTTCCATGGAGTTGAAACCAGGCTGAGCTGCAGACAGATGTGAGGTAAAGTGAACCGAGAGTCCAGTTTATAGGAAGGTTTGGGGAGGAGTTTGGCACTCCAGCCTCCAATTACAGGGGAGAGGAGGCTGAGAGAGGTTGAATCGGGGTTTGAGTTAATAGCTTGACGATGAGATTAGAAGTGATATGCTTATCCCCGGAGGGGCACCTTGTTCTGTGGAGTTGAAACCAAGCAGAGCTGAAGATACAAAGTGGAATGTCTGAGTTCTACCCTGATCCCATATTAGCTGTGTGACCCTAGGCAGATTATTATCATCTCTTAGGTTAGTTCCTCATCTAGAAAAAGGAGACTGTAAGCATCATAGGGTCAGAGTGGAGAAAACATTTTTATGAATTGTAAAATGCTATATAAATGTGAATTATTATTACTGCATAGTGTGCTTTGATATAGAGGCTTCTATCCCCCTCCCCCAAGTATTTCTCCTACTGCCTCTCAATGATGCCAGAAACTATGTCAATAGCAATCTATTCCTTTGGATTTGTTGTTGTCCAGTTGTGTCTGACTCCTTGTGACTTCATTTGGGGTTTTCTTGGCAAAGATACTGAAATGTTTTGCCTTTCCTTCTGCAGCTCATTTTACAGATGAAGAAAATGAGGCAAACAGGATTAAGTGACTTGCCCAGGGTCACACAGCTAGTAAGTGTCTAAGGCTAGATTTGGACTCAGGAAGTTTAGTCTTCCTGATTCCAGGCCTGGTACTCTCTCATTGTGCCACCTAGCTGCCTGTATTCCTTTGGTTATTACAGGCTTTTCCCCCTAAGAAATAAAAATGCAAATATTCTTGGAGGGGCAATACTGTAAGCCATTTTATTATCAGTCATTGTTTTAAAAATTAAATATCGTTTCAATTATCAAGCATTTATTTTTTGTTCCACCTCCCCCTCCCTGAAAAAAGAAAGAAAAACAAAACCTTTTTTTTTAACAAATAAGCATAATTGACCGAAACAAATTCCTATATCACCCATGTCCAAAAATGTGTATCTCCTTCTGCATAGTTGTTGATCTTCACTCTGTTATGAGGTAGGTCGTTCTTCACCATCAGGCCTCTGGAATCATGATTGATCATTGTGTTCTTAAATCTTTCAGAATTGTTTGTTTTTATAGGGCATTAGTTTACAAAAACAATTTTCTCTGGGAATTGGATGATGGCATAAGAGCTTGAAGGGAGGAAAGCTCAAGAAATCAGAAAGTGGAAGGACACTGAAGATAAACTTTTCCTACTTCACCTTTTTTTTTACTATTTTTTTTTTTTTGCTAGGCAATGGGATTGAGTGACTTGCCTAGGGTCACACAGCCAGTAAGTGTCAAGTGTCTGAGGCCAAACTTGAACTCAGGTCCTCCTGACTCCAGGACTTGTGCTCTATCCACTGCACTACCTAGCTGCCTCACTACTTCACATTTTTGCTTATGGCTGTGCCCTGAGTATGAGCAGTGGAATCTATACAAATGATTGGGTCTCCTTGTGTTAAGTAGAG